TCGGAGGGTATTATTCGTGGCCACTGTTTTTCGACATTTAGAGATTTTGCGCGCGTCCAAGTTTTCGCGCCATTTGCGATTCGGACGGACGGACAGCAGAAGCCAAATTGGATGGCAAAACGCAAGCGCATCAAAAATCTTACTTGGGGAAAACTATGGACCAAACTCAAGAAGCTTGGATGGAGGTTTGAGCGCCCCAAAGGGCTTGCAACTGAGAATCGCTACTTTACACCTGCAGGTTGGGAGAAACGTCCAAACGCAACCCACCTTGTCGACTACTACGAAGGACCTGACGAAGTATGGAAACATTTACCGGAAGATGGTACGTCCTAAACGCGTATTTTACAGCTTTAAATGAGGCTAACGATGATATAGTGCTGTATGACGACGCTGCAGGTGCTGATGGAGCGTCGAAACCGCCACCATCCACCCGCCCTCCCGCGACTCAATCCGACGCGTCGCCTGCCCAGTCTCCGGCCAGAGCTCCTGCCAAAGCGCCGGCCAAGTCTCCTGCTCAGTCTCCGGTCAAGTCTCCCGCTCAGCCTCCAGCCACGTCGCCCGCCAAGTCTCCTTCGAGACCGCCTGCAAGGGCGCCCCCCAAAACGCCGATGAGAACACCGCCTAAGAAACGCGCAAGGAAGGCTATTGCGTCGGCAACACCGTCACCGCAGCCATCGCCACGTGTACCACCACCGACACGTGTAAAGCCATCCCGAAGCGCGCGCCACGTGGCTGAAACGGTAGATATTTCGGTGGGAAATGACCGAATGACCTCTGGTGATGAAGATGACTACGCCGTCGACGACGACGGTGCCGTATCCGACATCGAAGCCTCTAGCGAAATTTCCAGTAGCGAAGATGAAGAGACAAGTGACGAAGAGGACGCTGTTGATCTCTCCGCCGGGACCCCCTTTGACAAGATGACCAAGGAGCAATTGAGTGAACACGCACAGACTGGCTGGACAACTTTCTTCGAAGCCCAATGTAAGTACAAACCTGTATGGTACAGGATATCATTCCTGGAACTTAACGTTATCCTGTTTTATGCACTAATTATTTGTTTTTGATGCTTATTACAGGTACTTCTCTACAGATACCTGCTGCCGATCTGGCACGTGCTAGTGCCGCCCCCACCCAGCTCGCTCAAGCATTGGGATGCAACCTGGAAGGGCTATTCTTTTTGTTCCTACCCAAAGAGATGTGGCTTGCTATTGCTACCGAGTCAAACCGATATCAACTTCAATACCGCGAGCAAGCGGCGGAAGAGATCATGGCTCGCCAGCAACGGATCAAGGACAGACGACCGGCGTACAAGATGAAGACATTGCAGCAAGTTCAAAAAGAGCAGAGAGCGTTCAAACCTATTCAAGCTCACGAGCTGGTGAACTTCATTGGGCTACTCTGTGCCCGTACCCTGTGTCCCCACAAAGAGAAATTGGCAAAGCACTGGGCAGTGGATGCTCAAGGTGCTGTCCCCAAAGGGACATTTGGGCGCTATATGGCGAGAAAGCGATTCGAAGAGATCGTACGCTTCTTGCACTTTAGTGACAACAGCCATGCTGACGCTGTCAAGTTCAAGACGTGGAAGATCAAGCCTATTGCCGACACAATCAACACAACGTTCAAGTTGGGAATGACAGTGGGGCAAAGAATCGCCTTCGACGAAGGCATGATACCTATGCGGAGCAAGTACAACCCAATGCGGCAATATCTTAGAGGTAAGCCCCACCCGTGGGGTACGAAGTGCTTCTTGACGTGTGATGCTGATACCGGCTACTGCTACAGGTATGGATATTGTGTTCCTGTATGATACAGAATAAAATCTAACTCTGTCATGTTTTATCCTGTATTCCTGTATAGGGCGGAAATTTACCAAGGAAAGGTCGACACGGACTGCGCGGATCTGAACCAAGGTCCCAACGCCGTGCTGCGTAATGTTGATGCAGTCCTCGACGGCCTTCCCAAGAAACGACTCATAATCACGGATCGGTTCTACTCAAGCGTGCTGCTATCTTCGATTCTCCTGCAGCGTGGACTCTACCATGTTGGTACAATCCAAACCAACAGGCGTGGCTACTGCAAGG